TGAAGCCTGTTCTTAATTTACTTATAGGATCAACAGAAGTTGTGGTATGAAATGTAGGAATAGACTATTTTTTTAATCTATCTCTCCTAAATAATGCTTTCATATCAAGAGTAAAATAGTACATATGCTTCGTATTAAAGAGTTGATACAGGGATGCTTACCAGTATTCTTTAGTGGCTTTTCTGTCTTGTATCAAAACATTTTCACTCATGTGCCTCCTGCTGTATGTCTGCTAGAAACGTCTGGATTTCAGTGACAAAACACAATGAAGTTTTGTAACCTGGTTTCCTATTCTTGGTTTCCTTAACCTTTGCTAGCCTGCACTGAAATAATACAGTGGCAGAACTGTGGTTGTTATACCTTCTATCCTCCCATTTCTTAGCTGGATATGGCAAGGCAGTGTTGTAGCTACAATGCCTAATTACTTTCCAAATATCAATACCATATTTAGGGCAAAGGTTCCTGAGGTTGCATCCAAGTGGTCATAAAGGGGAATTTTAATCTTTTGTGGGGAGTGCATTCCTCTAAAGATTGCAGAAATGTGGAAATATTTTATTGGTATCTCCCCTCCCTTCAAAAAGTTTCTGTAATACTTGCAGTTTGGCCAAATGAGAATATTGTCATAGAAGATATTTGAATTCATGCCATTGATATTTCTTCAAAGAGGGAAATACTATTTCTGTGGAGATGCTTCCTGTGAGAAGACACTCTGCACGTAATCTCCCTTCAGTCATTTGAAACCAGAAGTTTTCAGGATTCATTCTTCTATAAGGCCAGGAAGTATATTTTCAGCTGTCAGATGCCTGTGGAGAAGTGTTGCAGTTCTTCGAAGGTGGCACCTACTGGAAAATGAGATGGCTATCTAGTTGTGTATCCAGGCTGTCTCAGCTGCTCAGTCAAGCCCTGTGACTTTTAGTCTGCCAAAATATTTTTTTTCCTAACAGTGAAATTTGTCAGAATAAAACTCAAAGCTCTTTTAACTATTGACATCAGAAGTGAATTTCCTAATATAACAAAAATGTTGCTGAATCATTTCAGTGTTCTCAAGCTTAGCTTCCTAAAAGCCATTTACATAAGAAATCTCAATGAGTTTTACAGAAAACCCAGTCACTGGCAGCCCATAATTACCATGACCTTAAATGGCATAGGAAAGGAATGGAGGCAGTTTGGATCAGGAATGATACCATTTAGTCAGGGAGCCCAACTGGAAGTTTAGGTGTGACATTGTCTCGAACCCCCAAAACGGAGGGTTTGCCTGCTGTCTCTGCAACACAAGGCCCTACTGTTGTCAGATCAGAACATCTCCCAGTTACCTGAAGTACGAATGAGACCTACCTGATAAACATTAGAGCTCTGATACACCAGCAATCTACCCTAATGAATTCCTGCTACGGGGTCTGTATTGTAGTATAGCAAAGAATCCTGAAGAACAAATATACGAAACTCAATGGCAAATAATGGACACTTTTAGTTTGGCAGGAAAGCAGAAAAAATAATTTGGTAGGAAAAGTATGCAATGAGTGTCTTTATCCACAGTGTTCAGGTTTTTCCATGTATTTGTTTTCCGAAGTAAAATGTTATGCCAGTTTTAGCATTTTTGTTTTCAAGTTCAAATTCAGTTTTTAAACAAATCAGTGCTAGTTTGATGTAAGTATAGGTAATTTGTGTAAAAATTAAATGCTTCAGTATAACCTAAAAAAGTCATTCAACTCCCAATATTTCAGATTCAAGCTTTCTGTACAGTTTTGTTGCTGAAATCAGTGATTAAGTAGAACCCCATCTTCATTATTTCACTCCAGAAATACTTCAAATGGGGTGTCATCACTCTGAAATTGGGGAAGCTTCATACACGAGTTATTTTTGATCAGGTCACATACCAGAGTGATGGCACAGTAAGGTGAAAGGAATAAATACAGCTTACCTAAGACTCTAAGTGCCTTGCATGAAAATCATTAAACATATCAATCAATGACAGTACTTTGCTGAAATTGCTGAGTATCATGGACTGTATCATTGAAGCTAAGAGGAATGAGAGAGAGTTCAAAAATTAAAAGTAAGTGCTGCAGCATTCATAGTATTGTTTGAAGAAGAATTATTCAAATTTTGCTTGAATGAATTGCTTGCTTCCTCAGGTTCTTATTTAGGAATAATAATTAAAAAAAAAAAAAAAAGCCTGGCATGTATTTAAGCTCCATGGATTTTCATATCTGTGTGAATGGTTGTTTACAAGGCATAATATGTGTGCATAAATATTTTGCATGTTGATTCATATATGTCCTTCAGTTCTTTGTGTTATAGTCATTAAATACAAGGGACAAAACTGCACATACCAGGTTTCTGCATCTAAGTTTTATCATCTCTCCATTGTAGGTATTCATGCTGTTTTAATATGCCTGTGCAGCAAGCATTCACACCAAATAAATTTGCTCTTGAGCATTTATGCTTTTGTTAAATATTCATTAAATGAGATGCTGGGTATTCATGCAGTCTGCTGCTTGTAGTGCATTGAAACCCCAGAAAATGCATTGTTTGTGAATTCTTTATGCACAATTAGCCAAAGTATTCCTTCTCTACTCAGATACATCAGGGTCTAGGATGTGTTGCCATCAGTGTAGTGAGGTTCTGCCTGTAGGACTGATTTGGAGGGTTTAAGCCCTGGAAAATGGGTACAATCATTGCTGTGTGTCCTTATTGGAAGCTGCAATGTTTCTTGGCCTGCTCTCTCAGAAATACTAGAAGGGGTTATAAGTGTTTTATTGCTTCTCTTTTGGTAATGTCATAGGTGAAAAATAAAGACTTTTGGGCAGCTTGAATAAGCTAATTTTTAGCCTCAGTCACTCAAGTGGAACCTAACTCATGTCTCAAGTTAACAAAGAGTAACACGTGCCAAAAATTTATGCTGGATGAAAGTGGCCTGGTGATACAATACCTGACTTATTTTAACTGCTTTTCTCATCATGGTAAGCATCAGTGAGAAGACCTCTAAGAATGTAACTTTTGTTCAGAATGGAGTTCCATGTCAAAAAAAAAAAAAAAAAAAAAAAAAGGAATCTCAGTAGTCTTGTTCTCCTCAAACTGTTCAACCAATTGTTACTCATAATCCCTACTATCTGTTTATTAATTCCCTCCTAGAAAGGTGATTAGGTTTGTCCATGGAGGTACTAGTTGTCTAGATATTATAAGCTTATAGAAACCTAGTCAGGATGTAGCATATTTTAGAGATATATATTCAGAAATATACACTTAACTTCTCCTGCATATTTGTCGTGCATGATGAATGGCCAAGGCAGGAAGCAGTGCATGTGCTGTGTGTGACCTACTGCTTCTTGTAATAGAGGAACATGGCTTAGTCTGAATCTGGAGACTATTTTTGTTGGATTTTGTGTTTAGTGAGATGTGCTGTCAACAGCAGGGAAAAGCATCATTAAGGATGCTCAGAGAGGTGATTTTTTTTCCTTCTTTTTAAAAAAATTGTTTGTTTACAAAATAGGCCAAGGTAGCGAAATCCAGCTGTGGATTTACTGTAGCAAACTGATTTCTTTTGCTTGGGGTTAGATTCAAGTGAATCTTGCTTTGGGCTGTAAAGAGAGCATATTTGATAAGCAGTCATTTCATTTTTTTGCACAGTAATGTAGTATGATTTGGCTGCTGCCACAAAAAAAAAAAAAAAAAAAAAAAAAAAAAAAAAAAAAAAAAAAAAAAAAAAAAAAAAAAAAAAAAAAAAAAAAGAAAAAAAAAGAAGCAACAACAAAACATGAAAAATTCTGACCAAAAACTCCAAACTTATAATTAAAAACAAAAAAAAAATCACAAGAATTCTGCAACAAATCTATGAGAAAGCACTTCAAATAAATATAGACCAATAATGTTCTTATTTCAAAGCAAAGCTAAAGTAAAATGCAATCATTGTCTGAAGTCCTATCTGAAGCACTTTGCATTGCTGTCTGAACTCACTATAGTCTATTGCCTAAAGAGAAGCATTGAGAATATCTAGGATCAGTGTTAATGTATAGACTGTTGCAGGGGGTCATAAGCAGATGGGAAACAAATATGCCCCGGGACTTCTCAAGAAACCTGTGTCCTCACTGTTGGAGGTAGAGTTTGTTCTCAAGAATTATAAAATTTGACACTGTTAAGTTTTCATACTTTCATCCTTACAGTGCATAAACATCTACACATTTCCACTAAGATTTTGCTGACTTATTGTTAGCTAAACAAATAAATCTTGACTTTTTATAGCTCTAAACTCTGTACACCTCTAGTGTAAGGTCAGTGTATGTGTTCATCTGTAAGACTTAAGGGGAAAACATAATCTCCATGTATGTTACACTTGCTTTTCTGATGAGATTTGAAGCTTAGCTTCTTCTATTTGTGTTTCTTAGTTACCTTCAGGATAAACTAAGAAAAATTAGCCTGTATGGCACATACTGGCTAGTAAAAGTACATCCCAGAAAAAAACCTGTTTGTTTACTGATGCATGTTAACTTGCTCTCTGGCGTGGTGCTGTATAAAGTTTTAAGATAGATTCTTAAATGAGTGGTTTGTAGCTTTGGTTTATTCAAGACCTTAGGCCAGAGAAACTGGAGATATCTAGGTTATTGATTCTTTTTGAGGTGTTATGATTTTACTGAGAGTTGGAAAGGAAAACAGCTGTGTTATGACTAGAATAATGATTTGGTTTGTATGGTCAACTAAATGTTATATATTTAGATATGTTTCAGATCAGATTTCTTAAATAATGTTAATACAATTGGTGTTTTGGTGTATTTTCTGACTTTAATCATACACATGAAAATTCTGTAAGAATAGTTAAAAATACATTTACAGTAAATCTTAGTTATCTTTCTTCTTCATAGATTTTAAATGTTTTAAAATGAATTACTTTTTGATACAGTGCTTACGCTAATACTGTTAAATTAACTATGAAAATAATTCATGCAAGTTGCTTTTAATTACGTGCCAATGATTTACATGTTTGTTTCTCTCCTATTGTTTGTCAG